CCGTTAATGCACCGCAAACAACCGCAAACAGTCCATTTGCACAACCGCAAACTCCCCATTTGCACAAGGTTGGATACCAAGCTAGCCATGTCCCGTTCCTTGTCCTCACTGATGTCATTGAAGGTCTCTTTCTCCACCCAGCCACGTACAACACCAAGGGTCCCCGAAAGGTGACAACAAGCCCCCTGGGACGCCTGCTGTGTTTGGTCTTCCACCTCCTCAAAGCCACCTTCCTCCTCTGACTCCTCTTCTTCAGACTCCTCTCTGTGCGTTGCCTCTCTCTGCGTTATTATAAGGTGTGTTAAGTAGTATTATTCTTATCAGTTTAATCCCTGTTATGTGCCTTTTTTTTGGTTTGGTTTTTGAAACCACAGTGCAGCACAAGAGGCCTGAAAAATTAGGCATGTACACATGCCTGAAAAATTTGTGTTACAGTCGTGACTTAAATATGAATATTAATTTAATAATTAATATATAATAATTAAGCAACAAATAACAACATTAATAGAGTTCGGTATTATGGTCGAATATATAATAGGAAATACACAAAACATTGTAGTATTAAATGTATATTTAATATAATTATAATAACAATTAAACAAATGCTAGCAGAATGTCAATTTACCACAATAATTACACAATACAAAACTACAACATTACTTACAAAAGGCTATAACAGTTGCTAGCTGTTATAACAGATTACTTACACGGCTCCAGCCTGTTTGGCTGGAGCTATACACACAGCTACATGTTCAATCAATGCAAGCAAAGGAAAAAGGAGGCTCAAAATCCTTCTACTATTTGGTTTTATCCAGTAAGTAGGCTGGCCTGTGATGTCACTGCCAGAAGCACATGAGTTAGCACACTGACCCCTAGTGGTGCCTCTAAAGCATTAAGCTCATTATGCTTTTTTATGACAAAAAGTCATTAATTAATAAATACCATTACAATTAGGTATTGTTGCAGCCGCTGCTGTAGCAGCGGCCAGAAGAATTGATGTTTGTTTCCCAGGCAGAAAGTGCCCTAAAACAGTGTTCCCCAACCCCCGGGCCGCGGACCAGTACGTGGATCAAACGTTTACCCGTCCGCGGCGATAAAAAGGTTGGGGAGCCCTGCCCTAAATCATTGCGGCTTGAACCCTAGTTGGTGGCGGATGAGTCACGCAAGTCAACCGGCATTCAGAGCTAAAATACAGCAGCATGTGGACCATTTTTAGCCCAAGGCAGCTCATCTCATCAAGCCTTTTTTAGTCGGATGTATCGCCCACTGTCAGTCCTGTCGGGATCCATCCCTCATTCATCTTAATAAAGGTGAGGTAATCTAGACTTTTTTGACCTAGGCGACTTCTCTTCTCAGTTACAATACCTCCTGCTGCACTGAAGGTCCTTTCTGACAGGACACTTGAAGCGGAGCAGGCCAGAAGTTCTATTGCAAATTGTGATAGCTCAGGCCACAGGTCAAGCCTGCACACCCAGTAGTGAAGGGGTTCATCGCTCCTCAGAGTGTCGATATCTGCAGTTAAGGCGAGGTAGTCTGCTACCTGTCGGTCGAGTCGTTCTCTGAGGGTGGATCCCGAAGGGCTGTGGCGATTCGTAGGACTTAAAAAGCTCTGCATGTCCTCCATCAACAACACATCTGTAAAGCGTCCTGTCCTTGCCAGCGTTGTCATGGGAGGAGGAGGATTACTTTCACCTCTTCCCCTGTTAGATTCCCGTTGTGCTGTGACATCACCCTTATACGCTGTGTAAAGCATACTTTTTAATTTATTTTGCAAATGCTGCATCCTTTCCGACTTGTTGTAATTCGGTAACATTTCAGCCACTTTCTGCTTATACCGGGGGTCTAGTAGCGTGGACACCCAGTACAGGTCATTCTCCTTCAGCCTTTTTATACGAGGGTCCCTCAACAGGCATGACAGCATGAAAGACCCCATTTGCACAAGGTTGGATGCCGAGCTACTCATTTCCCGTTCCTCCTCCTCGGTGATCTCAATGAAGGTATGTTCTTCCCCCCAGCCACGTACAACACCACGGGTACCAGATAGGTGACAACGAGCACCCTGGGAGGCCTGTTGTGGTTGGTCTTCCTCCTCCTCCTCAAAGCCACATTCCTCCTCTGACTCCTCTTCCTCACAATCCTCTTCCAGAGTTGCCGCAGGTCCAGCAAGCGATGCTGATAAGGCTGGTTCTGGTGGTGATGGTGACCACAACTCTTCCTCTTCACGCTCATCTACGGCCTGATCCAGCACTCTTCGCAGGGCACGCTCCAGGAAGAAAACAAATGGTATGATGTCGCTGATGGTGCCTTCGGTGCGACTGACTAGGTTTGTCACCTCCTCAAAAGGACGCATGAGCCTACAGGCATTGCGCATGAGCGTCCAGTAACGTGGCAAAAAAATTCCCAGCTCCCCAGAGGCTGTCCTAGCACCCCGGTCATACAAATATTCATTAACGGCTTTTTCTTGTTGGAGCAGGCGGTCGAACATTAGGAGTGTTGAATTCCAACGTGTCGGGCTGTCGCAAATCAAGCGCCTCACTGGCATGTTATTTCGCCGCTGGATATCGGCAAAGTGCACCATGGCCGTGTAGGAACGCCTGAAATGGCCACACACCTTCCTGGCCTGCTTCAGGATGTCCTGTAAGCCTGTGTACTTATGCACAAAGCGTTGTACGATCAGATTACACACATGTGCCATGCACGGCACATTTGTCAACTTGCCCAACTTCAATGCCGCCAACAAATTTGTTCCGTTGTCACAAACCACTTTGCCGATCTCCAGTTGCTGCGCAGTCAGCCACTTTTCCACCTGTGCGTTCAGGGCGGACAGGAGTGCTTGTGCGGTGTGACTCTCTGCTTTCAAGCAAGTCAAACCCAAGACGGCGTGACACTGCCGTATCCGGGATGTGGAATAGTACCTGGGGAGCTGGGGGGTGCCGCTGATGTGGAGCAAGACGCAGCAGCAGAAGAGGACTCAGCCGAGGAGGTTATGGAAGAGGATGGAGTAGGAGGACTAGAGGAGGTGGCAGCAGGCCTGCCTGCAAGTCGTGGCGGTGTCACCAACTCCTCTGCAGAGCCACGCATTCCATGCTTGGCAGCCGCCAGCAGGTTTGCCCAATGCGCAGTGTAGGTGATATACCTGCCCTGACCATGCTTTGCAGACCAGGTATCAGTGGTCAGATGGACCCTTGCCCCAACACTGTGTGCCAGACATGCCATTACATCCTTTTGCACAATCGAGTACAGGTTGGGGATTGCCTTTTGTGAAAAGAAATTTTGTCCGGGTACCTTCCACTGCGGTGTTCCAATAGCTACAAATGTTTTGAACGCCTCAGACTCCACCAGCTTGTATGGTAAAAGCTGGCGGGCTAATAGTACAGACAAGCCAGCTGTCAGACGCCGGGCAAGGGGGTGACTTTCTGACATTGCTTCTTACTCTCAAACATGTCCTTGACAGACACCTGACTGTGGGCAGATGAGCAGGAACTGCTCAAGGCGAGAGACGGAGTGGCGGATGGTTGAGAGGGGGCAAGGAGGACAGCAGTGGTTGACGTGGCTGAAGATGCTGGACCAGGAGGAGGATGGCGACTTTGAGTTTGTGTGCTGCTTGTACTCATGTGTTGATCCCATAGGCATTTGTGATGTGCGATCATGTGCCTACGCAAAGCAGTTGTACCTAGGTGGGTGTTGGACTTCCCACGTTTCTTTTGGCACAGGTTGCAAATGGCATCGCTGTTGTCAGAGGCAAACACACAAAAATGCCACACTGCTGAGCTCTGCATTCTGGTGGTGGACACAGCATGCGTTGATTGGCGTGCTGTCCCGCTGACCCCGGGTGCCGATGCGTGCTGTCTGACTGTGCACCTAGCTCCTTGCGACGACCTCCCCCTGCTTCCAACTCGTCTCCTCCTCCTCTCTGTCTCCCCATCTGAACTTTCGCCCTGTTCTTCTTCTTGCCGAGCGGGCACCCACATGACATCCATGGATGCATCATCATCATCAACCGCTTCACTTGTATCTGCCAACTCAGCAAAGGAAGCAGCAGCGGGTACAACATCATCATCATCACACCGTGCCCGAAACTAAGCTGGAGGAGAATGTTGCGTCAAGGTTCCGAGCGGAAGCTGTAGAAGATTGGGTGTCCTGTGTTAGCCAGTCAACTATGTCCTCAGAACTTTTCAAGTTCAGGGTACCTGGCCTCTGAAAACTGGGCATTATTCTAGGGCAAAAGGGAATCACAGCACCACGACCATGACGGCCCCTGCGGGGTGGCCTGCCTCTGCCTGTCATTTTTTTTTCGATTAGTGGTACTATGCGTGCAAGCTACTGTGACACCAGATATGAGTGGCACTGTGAACTGGCAGAGGTTGGCAGAGTACACGCTGTAGGGCTGACACACCAGCTTTGAGACAACTAACTGCTATTCAATCTATAACAGTGAAAAAAGTTTTTTGTTTTTAAATGCAAGCTATTGTGACACCAGTGAGTGAGTGGTGGCACTGGGCACAGTATCCACTGTGAGCCTGACACACCCGCTTTGAGAAAACTAACTGCTATTCAATCTATAACAGTGAAAAAAGTTTTTTGTTTTTAAATGCAAGCTATTGTGACACCAGTGAGTGAGTGGTGGCACTGGGCACAGTATCCACTGTGAGCCTGACACACCCGCTTGGAGAAAACTAACTGCTATTCAATCTATAACAGTGAAAAAAGTTTTTTGTTTTTAAATGCAAGCTATTGTGACACCAGTGAGTGAGTGGTGGCACTGGGCACAGTATCCACTGTGAGCCTGACACACCCGCTTTGAGAAAACTAACTGCTATTCAATCAATAACAGTGAAAAAAGTTTTTTGATTTTAAATGCAAGCTATTGTGACACCAGTGAGTGAGTGGTGGTGTTATGGACAGATGAATTAAAATAAAATGGCTATTTACTAATGTCTATTTATTCTGTGTTCACTATGTTAAAACTGGCTGCTAGAGTAAATATTCCCTTCCCCCCCCTACAATGTGTTCAGTTGCTGTTTCCTATGTAAATTCTTCATCCTGCTAGCATCCCCCTTCCCATCAAGCAAACCTCGTGTAACCAAAATTCCTGTGTTAACAGCTTCCTTTACTAACTCCTCCCCCACTTCCTTTGTGCCATTTAACAGCTATATGCCATGTGTAACAAAATGGAGAATCACTGTTAAAGTAACTGAAAGAGACTACTCACTCCCCCTGTCATCGTGTATCCAGGAGCTGGAATATAGGCGGGAGAAGTCTGTAATGACAACACTACATCCTGTAGGGGGGGGTTTAGACAAGACCCCTTAGACTGTTAACCAATTGTTGAATGTATACTGTATGTTTAAACTGTGACGTATTTCTGCTTTAAGAAGGAGCCCCCACTCCGGGGAATAAAGCATTCCTTGGTTTTTCATTGATCAGAAACTTTGTCTCCGGTGTGAATTACTCCTAGGGAAAGCGTGCATGCATTAATTAATCAATTTGGAAGGTGTAGATAGACAAATTATCAAAGTTTTCTTTGATCCAAAACATTTGGCGCCCAAACAGGGACTGAAAGTTACTTATGTTACTAAGGAAGCCGTAAAATCCCAGGACCGGAGAGGAGACCCCCAGAGATTGGAAAAAAAGAGCCTGATCACCTCTGCATATGGTAAATGAGTAACTTACCTATATTTTCCCGTCTTTGGAATTGGTCTGCACTCCGTTCCTTCACTCGGCTTCCTGTGGTTAACGTCTTCAGATAGGTAATATATATATGCCTGAATGTCCCCTTTTATATAGAACCTGTCACTTGTCTATCTACAGCCTGAGTCCTGAGTGTGAGTTTTATGTGTGAAAGTGTCTGTTTGAGAATCTGTTTTACTTTCTTTTGATTATTGAGGTCGGGTTCATAGAAAACACCTGGCGATTGAATTCAGGGTGCAAAAAAAAAAACCTGGAGTTTTAGGCCAGATTATATTAATATTTTAATATTAACTCTTGGCGTTTCTTTTGTTGTTTTTCTTTTGAGTTCAGGGTGCAAAAAAACCTGGAGTTTTAGGCCAGATTATATTAATATTTTAATATTTTAATATATAATAAGGTATTTTAATATATAATAAGGTAAGAAACTAAGTTTGAATCTATTCTCCCAAGCATTACGGCTAATAAAATCTGAATTGGAAGGGAAGAGGTTTATACAATAAACAGGAGACCTTTTTCTTACAGGACATGTATGACTCAGCTGAATGGGTAGGTGCCACACACATGACTGTTAATCCCCTCAAACCACACATTAGGACTTTAAAAGACATGGTAGTCATCCCATATTTGAGGATACTAGGGCTGTAGAGACAGGTTTCTCTGACACTAACTTGTGACTTGAATGGATGAAATACAATGCTACTAAACATAACAAGTCTAACTGCTATGTCTGCGGAGGAGCGAGGCCTCACCCAGGTACAGTATTCCTGAACCTTCCTCCGGATATGAAGTATGCGTTTTAAGTCTCTACACTGTATTTAAACCTAAGCGGTCAGCATGCGAGTCATGGAAACTTAATACCCAATCATTACTAAAAATATTAACCCAGACGAAGGCATTACTATATATCCAGGGAACTATACTTGTTATGGTATATATGATGGGGTAGGCCAATTCTTTGGTAATTTCACTGGTAAGTACTGTGCCACATATTGTCACATATTCATCCGCTTATAGAAATGTGGTTAATGACATTTACTGTCCACACAGGAAAAGTTGTGCCGAGCAGCAACCTAATCCACAGAAGGGTTAATGCTGAGCAGTAATTGTGCAAATGAAACCTGGTGTCATGTATTCATCCGCTTAGAGAAAAGTGAGTAATGACATTTACTGTCCACACAGGAAAAGTTGTGCCGAGCAGCAACCTAATCCACAGAAGGGTTAATGCTGAGCAGCAATTATGCAAATGAAACCTGGTAACTGACTTTGGGGTCAAAGGCCGGTTACAGCCTATCAGAACTAATGGAGGGGTATTTAGGCCCAGTTCTCAGACTGCTCAGTGCCCTGTCGTGGTTTCCCTTGTGGTTGTCTGAGAGTGCGTTCCTGTTGATAGTTTCTACCTGGTTTTTGACTTTGGCTTTGTTTATTGACTTCTCTATATTCTGGTATCCTGACTCCTGGCTTTCCTCATCGCTGTGTCCCTTTCTGTGTTCCCTGACCTCGGCTAGTATTTTTGACTATTCTTTGTACGTTAAATCCGGCCATTCTAAGGACCGGTAATACGTTACTTATTTGTCATCCGTGCTGTACAGTTCTACGTGCTGGATCAAACAGTAATCCTGACATTACGACAGGGCCATAGATCCTGTAGAACTGTGTCAGCACATAGCTGCTTGCGAGAGGAAATTAGAGGAGAATGATCACCGCATGGATCAATTCACTCAGGCTTTAAGTACGCTTCTCGCTAGAACGGAGCATCTGCAGCCTGCAGCGTCTCCTCCTATAGCACCTCTACCCTGTGTACCTCCACCCACTGTTAATAGGACTCCTTGCATCTCCTTATCACCATCCCTACAGTTTGATGGCAATATCCAGGAATGCAGGGGTTTTCTTAATCAGGTGGAGTACCATTTTGAGGCCTCACCAGGGTAATTCCCCACGGACAGAGCAAGAATTGGTTATCTAATGAATCAATTAAAGGGCAAGGCCCTTGCCTGGGCTAATCCGTTGTGGGAGAGTAATCGGAGCATAGCTCATAATTACCAGGAATTCCTTGCCGAATTCAAGCTCACGTTTGAGCCATTGGGTAGAGAGGATGACGCCTCCACTGCCCTAATGCACATCAGACAAGGTAACCGGTCTATCTCGGATTATGCTATTGAATTCCGTACCTTAGCTTCCGAGGTAGACTGGACTAACAATGGGTTAATCTCAGCATTCAAAAAGGGTCTCTCAGAGACTATACTAGATGAGATAGCCGCTAAAGAATTACCTAAGAGTCTTAACGAATTTATTACGTTTGTCATGCATATTGATAATAGGTTAAGACTCAGAGAAGTCACCAGAAGCAAGACCAGATGTACGGCTATGTCCCTAGCACCTCAATTCTCTAAACCTGTTTTGTCTAACCTCCCTGTACAGTCCGAACCCGAACCTATGCAAGTGGGGGTCACTAGACTGTCAGAGGCCGAAAAACAGTATAGGAGAAAGGAGGGGTTATGCCTATATTGCGGTAGAAAGGGACATATGATAACTAATTGTCCAGTGCGTCCGGAAAACTTCCGCACCTAAGAACCTTAAGGGGACAGATCTTAGGTGTGATGGAGTTGTCCTCTAACAAAAACAAAAGTAGATTCCTCCTTGAGGTATCTATTTCCATTGATAACAAGAAGTTTTCTTGCAGTGCCCTAATAGACTCAGGTGCTGCTGGAAATTTTATTGATGTCCAGTTTATTAGGGGTAATGAGATACCGGTCAGGGAGAGACCTACGCCGCTAGCTGTAGAGGCTATTGATGGTAGACCACTCACACAACAGCTTATAACCCACGAAACTGTCCCTATTACGATCTCCATTGGGGCCTCCCATAGGGAGGAGATGACGTTTCAGGTTATTACTTCTCCATCATGTCCTATCATATTAGGGTTTCCGTGGCTGAGTAAACACAATCCCTATATTGACTGGGCTAATGGGGAGATATTAGAATGGGGTAAAGAGTGTATGGGGAGATGTATAAAACCAGTACTAAAGAGATTGGATACTATTGACCTTCCCACTACCACTCCCCAAACTCCTGGAGTTCCCATACAATACCAAGAACTTCAGGAGGTGTTTAACAAGGCTCAATCCGATGTATTGCCTCCCCACAGAGCATATGACTGTGCCATTAACCTGTTTCCAGGCGCTATGCCACCTAAGGGGGCAGTTTATGCCTTATCTCCCAGGAGAGTAAAATAATGGAGGAATACATCAAAGAATCCTTGAGCAAAGGGCACATAAGAAAGTCATCCTCACCAGCTGGTGCAGGATTCTTTTTTGTTGAGAAAAAGGGTGGTGAGTTACGCCCTTGCATAGACTACAGGGCACTTAATAAAATCACTGTAAAAAATGCATACCCTATCCCACTCATTTTCGAATTGTTCGATAGACTTCAGGGAGCTAAAGTATTTACTAAGCTTGACCTTAGGAACGCTTACAATTTGGTTAGAATTAAAGAGAATCATGAGTGGAAGACGGCATTTAATACCCGTAGTGGACACTATGAATATCTGGTAATGCCATTTGGGTTATGCAACGCCCCGGCCGTATTCCAAGACTTTATAAATGATGTACTCAGGGAATTCATTCATTCATTTGTCTTGGTTTATTTGGACAATATTTTGGTGTATTCCCCTGATCTTCAAACATACCACTCCCATGTGAAACAGGTTCTGCAGACGTTGTTGAAAAATAAACTTTATTGTAAATTAGAAAAGTGCATATCTGACCAGCCTGAAGTCCACTTTTTGGGTTACAACATCTCTGCATCGGGATTTCAAATGGATCCTAAAAAACTAGAAGCTGTACTACACTGGCCATTACCCTCTGGTTTAAAAGCCATTCAAAGGTTTATTGGTTTTGCCAACTATTACAGAAGATTCATCAAGGGATTTTCTTCTGTAATAGCCCCAATCACAAATATGACTCACAAAGGGGTTAGTAGCACGGTATGGTCCAAAGAGGCTGTGAATGCTTTTGAGACTCTTAAGCAAAGATTTGCCTCTGCGGACATACTAAAACATCCCGACACTAGTAAACCTTTTATATTGGAGGTTGATGCATCCGAGACAGGGGTAGGGGCTGTTCTCTCTCAGAGAGAAAGCCAGGGAACACCATTGCATCCTTGTGGCTACTTCTCCAGAAAGATGTCTCCTGCTGAGCGCAACTATGATATTGGCAATAGAGACCTGTTGGCCATTATTCTTGCCCTCAAGGAGTGGCGACATCTTTTGGAGGGTTCCAAGGACACCCTGTTGATCATAACTGACCACAAAAATCTGGCATATATAGGGGATGCCAAACGTTTGTCTTCCAGACAGGCTAGATGGTCACTGTTCCTTTCACGTTTTAACTTTCTCATTACTTATAGACCTGGTTCTAAAAATACCAAGGCTGATGCCTTGTCCAGGCAATTTGATAATGAGTCAGCTCTGGAACAGATGACATCTCCTATTATTCCAGCAGAGTGTATTATTGCTACTACTGTCCTCTCACTGTCTTCTCCACTGCTTGGCACCATACTGGAGGCCCAGCCTCAGGCGCCTAGTGGTAAACCGTGTGATAAACTGTTCGTTCCCCTATGTGAAAGGGTTAATATCATGAAAGTGTTCCATGACAATATAACTGCTGGACACCCGGGCATCAATAAGTCCACTGCAGCGATCACTAGATCATTTTGGTGGGATTCACTCAGGAAAGATGTAAAGGAGTATGTGCAGGCATGTTCTGTGTGTGCAGTTTCTAAGGTGACTCATACACTTCCTTGTGGCCTGTTGCAGCCTCTTCCTGTTCCTGAGATTCCATGGTCCCACTTATCCATGGACTTTATTGTTGAGCTTCCTAGCTCTGCTGGGTTCACTACTATTCTCATGGTTGTAGACCGATTTTTCTAAGATGGCTCACTTCATTCCTCTCAAGAAGTTGCCATCTTCGCAAGATTTGGTCCTAATTTTCATACGTGAAATTGTCCGTTTGCATGGCATCCCCCACAATATTGTGTCTGATAGGGGCTCTCGGTTTGTGTCCAGATTCTGGAGGGCGTTCAGTAAACAATTGGGGATTGATCTCTCCTTCTCCTCCTCCTACCATCCACAGACCAATGGTACAGCTGAGAGGGCTAACCAGTCATTAGAAGTTTATTTGCGTTGTTTTATTAATAGCATACAAGACAATTGGTCCGAACTACTCCCATGGGCCGGGATTCACTTCCTGACAATGCTATTCATGACTCCTCTGGGCACAGTCCATTTTGTCAATAATGGTAGGCATCCTACGGTTCTCCCCTCGCGGTATTTTCTGATACTGCCATTCCTGCTCTGGATGGCGTCTGGCCTCCATTAGGGATGATACCTGGGTTAAGGTTCAGAGCTGCTCCTGGGGAGGGCTGCTGCTGGAGCGCTGGAAACATTTTATGATAAGGCGTGGGGTGCCAACCCGGTGTACCAAGTGGGGGACCGGGTTTGGTTGTCATCTCGCAACATCAAGCTTAAGGTCCCTAGCATGAAGTTTGCCCCAGATTCCTTGGTCCCTATAGAGTGCTTCGTAGGATCAATCCAGTGTCTTACTCTCTGGCTCTTCCTGTATCTTTAGGGATTCCCAACACTTTTCATGTGTCCTTACTCAAACCTCTTGTCTGCAATAGATATACTGTTCCTTGTGTTCCTCCCCCTCCGGTGGTGGTGGGTGGTCAGAAAGAGTATGAGGTATCTTCTGTCGTGGATTCTAGGTTTTCTCGGGGCACTTTACAGTACTTGGTTGTTTGGAAAGGTTACGGTCCTGCTGATCGTTCTTGGGTTTCGGCTCTGATGACCTGCATGCGGGCCGTAAGATCCAGCTTTTCACTTCAGCTAAATTTCCTCTCAAGCTAGCCTGGTCCTGTATCCGCCCGGTGGGACTGTCTTCAGGTGGGGTAATGTCACATATTCATCCACTTATAGAAATGTGGTTAATGACATTTACTGTCCACACAGGAAAAGTTGTGCCGAGCAGCAACCTAATCCACAGAAGGGTTAATGCTGAGCAGCAATTATACAAATGAAACCTGGTAACTGACTTTGGGGTCAAAGGCCGGTTACAGCCTATCAGAACTAAAGGAGGGTATTTAGGCCCAGTTCTCAGCCTGCTCAGTGCCCTGTCGTGGTTTCCCTTGTGGTTGTCTGAGAGCGCGTTCCTGTTGATAGTTTTCTACCTGGTTTTTGACTTTGGCTTTGTTTATTGACTTCTCTATATTCTGGTATCCTGACTCCTGGCTTTCCTCATCGCTGTGTCCCTTGCTGTGTTCCCTGACCTCGGCTAGTATTTTTGACTATTCTTTGTACGTTAAATCCGGCCATTCTAAGGACCGGTAATACGTTACTTATTTGTCATCCGTGCTGTACAGTTCTACGTGCTGGATCAAACAGTAATCCTGACACATATAGCCCAATTCCACCCGCCCTAATCCAGCAACAAATAAGATCCCTTGGAGACATATATTGGATTTGTGGGGATATGCAGATTAGAACCAGATTGGAAGGCGTATGGTGGGGAGAATGTGCCCTAGCTAAGGTAATTATGCCTATACACATAATCTTTGACGGACACCAAGATACCCCAGGTACATCACACCAATACTCTAGAATAAAGAGAGATACTCCTGTAAAAGGCAGTTTTGATCCCCATATTTATATAGATGCCATAGGAGTGCCAAGGGGGGTGCCGAATGAGTTTAAAGCAAGAGATGAAGTGTCCGCAGGGTTTGAATCTATTTTCCCAATCACGGCCAATAAAAATTTAAATTGGATCAATTACATCTATTATAACCAACAACGTTTTGTAAATTATACAAGAGATGCCCTCCAAGGTTTGGCGGAACAATTACAAGCTACTTCCCAGATGACCTTCCAGAATAGAATGGCCTTAGACATGATCCTGGCGGAGAAAGGGGGGGTATGTAAAATACTCCCAGACACCATGACATGCTGTACCTATATTCCAGATAATACAGGCTCTAATGGTAAGGTAACGTTGGCAATAGAAAAGTTAAAGAGTTTGTCCAATGAACTGAAAAGGAATTCTGGGGCCACAGATCCATGGGAAAGATGGTTTGGATGGATGTCTGGATGGCAAGGTGCTCTGGCCCAGATAGGCGTTGCCATTTTAATAATGATAATCATCCTCGCTCTGTTTGTTGTGTGTTACCCTGTCTTAAGAAATGCCTACAAAAGACAGTTGATCAGACAATCAACCAGACCACCCTGACCTTCCTTCACCAAGAGATTGACGACATAGACCGTGATACACCACATACACCCTTACATTCCCACCGCACTAAGTCAACAGCTACTTCCTCTTAAGGACATTCAGGGATAGCGTCTGTCTCTACGGGCAGAAGTCTGTCGCGGGAAGAAGTAGTGGACAAGCTGCTACGGGTTACCCGCGCAGTGAAGTGTTCGAGGCCTGTTCAGACAGATGTGCAAGATAGCCTTTTTGTTATTTTTCTATAGGGACAGTATTAGAGTGAGAGATAGTAGTTTCTAGTAAAATTGCCATTTTAAGGGGGGACTGTTATGGACAGATGAATTAAAATAAAATGGCTATTTACTAATGTCTATTTATTCTGTGTTCACTATGTTAAAACTGGCTGCTAGAGTAAATATTCCCTTCCCCCCCACAATGTGTTCAGTTGCTGTTTCCTATGTAAATTCTTCATCCTGCTAACATCCCCCTTCCCATCAAGCAAACCTCATGTAACCAAAATTCCTGTGTTAACAGCTTCCTTTACTAACTCCTCCCCCACTTCCTTTGTGCCAGTTAACAGCTATATGCCACGTGTAACAAAATGGAGAATCACTGTTAAAGTAACTGAAAGAGACTACTCACTCCCCCTGTCATCGTGTATCCAGGAGCTGGAATATAGGCGGGAGAAGTCTGTAATGACGACACTACATCCTGTAGGGGGGGGTTTAGACAATACCCCTTAGACTGTTAACCAATTGTTGAATGTATACTGTATGTTTAAACTGTGACGTATTTCTGCTTTAAGAAGGAGCCCCCACTCCGGGGAATAAAGCATTCCTTGGTTTTTCACTGATCAGAAACTTTGTCTCCGGTGTGAATTACTTCTAGGGAAAGCGTGCACGCATTAATTAATCAATTTGGAAGGTGTAGATAGACAAATTATCAAAGTTTTCTTTGATCCAAAACAGTGGCACTGGGCACAGTATCCACTGTGAGCCTGACACACCCGCTTTGAGAAAACTAACTGCTATTCAATCTATAACAGTGAAAAAGGTTTTTTGG